TAATTTATTTTATCAACTTTTCTTCTGACGATGCTGTCTGTGTTGAGCGCTCTGCTACTACTACTCCGCCTAGGCTGCACTTTCGGGCGCAGATCCACTGAGCGCAGCGCAGGCTAGCCAGATAGAAGTTAAGCTCGTTGCAACATGGCAACTGCTTCATCACTAGCCGAAATTGAACCTCCCCCACCCTTATTCAGATCTGGCCTTTGGAAGTAATTTGGTCTTAATGTGACGTATGACCCTGAAGGTAAGCGCGTCATGGACAAAAGTAAAACAGTATGTCGGATGTGCCACGCAATGCTCAATTACATTGGTGGGAACTAGTGTGTTAGCGTGGTTTGCTCGTTAATGTGTCCAGCCCCACACACGGGGCGATCCGCGGTAACTCGTTAACGGAGATTTGCCACGTTATGGCGTTAATGTCATTTTAACAAGATTAATGCTGACAGCACTAGTGGGAACAGAACGAATATGTCTGCACATTTACGCTGACATCATCCTAGTGCAAAGACAAGTGGAAGCAGATAAAAGCAACAAGCACGCATGCTACGAACTTTACCCGAGTCATTTAGACAGCCGTTAGCACATGATTCTCCTTATGGGACCTGATATATTTAATATGCTGCTGAGAAGATTATTAAAATCAAAAATCAAAAATTTTCCTTGAAGCAAAACACAAAGACTTTCAGTGGACATAAAAAGTGCACACACCCCTGTAAAAATGCCGTGCTTTTGTGTTGTTAAAAATAAATCACTCAAAAACTTTTAATGTGATAAATAACAATAATAAAATAATACGATAAGCTGATTGTATAACCGTTGAAGAACCTTTTGATTTAATTTCTCAGTTGAAGTTATAAAATCAGAAGGTAGAGTCTTACCTGTGTGGTTGTGCAGAGGCAGAACAAAATGCTGAAGACCAGGTTCATTGTTCTTGAAGTGACGAGGACCAGATACCCAAAAACCCAGGACACAGCCAGTAACACAGCCAGAGTGAAGCATTCAAGGAAACTCTTCCTGAAGCAGGACTTCCTGGTTGCTTTAATGGACACATAAACCAGCAGGACGATGTTGTAGATCAAGATCAGGCCGACTGGAAGGAGGAAACCCCAAAACAAAGGTTTCTCAAAGCTGAAGTGTTTGTTCTTATCCAGTGCTGCCAGCCAGCAACTTCAGTGACATGAAAAAGAATTATACAAATAATATGAATAAATAACTTTGTCTAAACTTTAATCCAAACTTAGAGGAATTATAATAAAGTTTGTAAAGATAAAAAAAATAAATTACAAAAGCTGTATAGGCGCATCGAAAAGAATGGTTGTATCAAACTGAATCTCTGTGAGTAGCATCATACAACAACAGCAACAACAACACTGTAATATTGGTAAAAATGTGACTTTTGTTCATATTGAAGTACAGGTCAGTCTAAAGTAGATAAATGTGGTTTGTGTGATTACCCACAATTCCTCCTGTCTGTATCTCAGAGGATTGTCCACACTGTAGGTCACCCCCAGTGTGATGCCTATGAACAAGGCTGGCACTCCTAACACAATAATTCATTAATTGGGACAGATTGAAGGGTCTTCAAGAATAAACAGCTTGTCAGATTTAAGTCCCGACTTTATAAATGTCTTACCCCATCCCAGAGCCATGCCCAGCAGAGTCCAGTGAGGTGGTAGACTGCGGCGTATTTTCTGAATCAGGATCTGAGTACCGTTCACGCTGTTCCACATGAAGGTGGCCATCAGGAGGAAGTGCAGCAGAGCCGCTACAGCCATACACGAACCGCGGTCTGGTTCTATGCGTTCATCCGAGTCAAGGAGGTCATTGGTCCGATCGTCAGTCTGCACCTCAATGTCAATTTGTCTGCTGGAGTTTTGGACTCCAGAGACAAAGGTGATGATGAAGGCCAGCAGGCTGAAGTAGATGCACAGCCGAGATATCAGGCTTTTCTTCTGTTCATTCTGAAAACTACAGATGAAAATGAAAAAGTGACAAATGATAATATGAAGTCTTACAGGAAAACTGTAAAAAAAAAAATAGAAATACACGTGAATGTAATTTTAAATATGACATAAAAGGCTGAAAACAAGATTGTGATGTTGCAAAAATTAATTGCTATTTTTGTCATACAAAGCAAAAATCTCCTTAAAATTTTTGACTTTTCTCAAAACAATAAATTGCATTCATGTTATTTCTTTAAATGTTATTATTATTATTATTATTATTATTACCTTTTCTCTGTTTTCTTTCATTCCAAAATATTAATAAATATGTTTTTTTTAAATTTGTTTTTATTTTATATATAATTCAGACCTCCTTCGTTTTGTTTGTTCGCACTTTTGGCGGAAGTTACAGTCTTTAGTTTGTTGGTGTAATTATGAATCCACAAGCTTTGCTCACCCAATTGAGAGATTTTCTGAAATTCTTCTTTGCAAATACTTTCAAACTCACTCTGTTTTTTTATCCTTCTTTGATTTAAGTTAAAGAGGAGATATAACCCAAGGACATTTGGTCAGACCTTGGGTATCCTCTGGAACCTAGTGGTGATTGAATGATGGTGTTATTTTCCAATTATTTTTCACAGGACAACAAACTGTTTGTCTTTCTGTTTAACTTCAGCATCCAGACCAAAAATCTAATTTATCTACTTTGAGAAGGTAAGATTGGAAGATGCCCACACAACCATTAGGTCGTCTTCTTAAAACTATTAAAATATTACATTGTAAAAATGTGGAGATAAGGTCTAGAAATAATTTAAAAATAATTTAAAATTTTTAAGAACTAAAGGATTCCTTTTCTGGATAAAAGCAAGAGGGTAATTACAATTTTCTCAATTACAATAAAATTAAATAAAGTAAACAAAGCACTGAGAGAAGAGTAGGGAAGTCATTGAAATATCTAGATTTATGGCTCAGTTTTTGTCATACCAATTTTTTTGACCAATTTTGACTCTGTAGCTAACACTTCTGTTTCTAACATGTTTGCTGCATGTTAGCAGGTGGTGGGGCGGTCTAGTCTTACATTTCTTTAACGTTATAAATGATCGTCACAATCAAACCCAGAAAAGAAAGAGAGAGTCCCACGATGGAGATCGCACCCAGAGCTTCTGCATACTCGTAGTTCTCTCTGAATGACTGAAAAACAGATATGATCAAAAGTCTCACTAAATATCTGTAATTTGCAATTGTTGATGAAGAATCAACAAACTGTGGCTTCATCTTTCAGTCTGCAGAGTTGTGATACTCACCCAGAGAGCAGCAAAGTTGGTGGTGTGGTTACAGAAACATCTCATGAGTCCATCTGAAGTGTTTCCTTTAGAGCAGCCGCTGGTGCTCCAGTCCTTCTGACTGTAGTTCCAGAAAACGCAGGAGAAGTCGTACAGAGACGTCCCACTGATGTTCTGAAACAGCAGCGCACAGACAGCCCTTTAATTTAGATAATTTAGACTTAACACATATTTTTAATGCATTTTGTTTGCTTTTCTTTTGTTTTGTTAACACTATTGATATTTTTCTTACAGTATTTGTGTTTGCTTTGAATCAATTCTGATATTGTATATTTGATAGTAACATGACATCATTGTATTTTAACATACAGATTGTTAAAGGTAACACATCTACAACATATTTTTTATAATAATATCCTGGCAAAAATCCTTCCACTCCACACAGAACTAACATGCATAACATGCAAACTTTTTCTGCAGTACCTACAACTTAAAGCATTTAAATCCATTCCTCACACGAAAACAAGAAAACAAAACCCATTCTCATAAATATACAGAACAATAGTGTGACTGGACAAGTTAGCTTTTGTGACCAATTTTACCCCATTAGCAGCAGGAGGAACTGCAGCTGTGCTAAAGATATTAAATTATAACCAGCAGACATCAGTCATTAGATTTATATATGAATGAAGATACTGGATTTATTACTCTTGGTCTGAACAACATCTCCACATGTTGTGGCACCATGTTGGGTTCCTGCCCTCTGACGCTAGCTGACAGGACCCTTATGGTGGTCCGTCGCTTCATGTAGAGTTTTGAACGAAAGAAACGATCATTCTGATAGAGAACAAAACCCAGAGAGACGTTCAAGTCTGTCTGACGACTTCTGACATCTTCGCCTAACATGAGAGAAAAGAATCCACTGCTATTAGTAAGAACGTGTTAAAATTAGAGGATTTTTCAGCTTTAAAAAGACAGACTCACCTGGCGGGAATCGTATGTAAATGAGGGCATCAGCTATGAAACTGTTTTCCATCACGACCTGTGTTGCGTTTGTGTTCAGATGAATTCTGTTGGGCAAAAAATTCCCAGAAATCCCTGTAGTGACAAGATGACTGCATGTCAGTGAACACACCAAAAATGTGCAAATTTACTATCAGTTCTTCAATTTTAAAGTTAAAGTTCAGATTAAAATTAAAGTTAAGATGTCAAACACTAATGTGGAACTGGTAACTTTATTTAGACAGGCGTACAGTGGGGATGTTGATACAAGACTCATTTCTTTTTGGTATAATTTTCTTATAAATAAGCTTCCACACTCAACTGATTATGTGAAGATGTTATGGGAAAAGGAGGGAGGGATGTGTATTTCTAGGGATGAATGGACTCAGATGTGGGAATGGCAATGGAGGAGTACTTCCTCCAAAAGCTGGAGGGAGTTTGGATGGAAAACTCTGATAAGGTTCTTTATCACTTCGTGTCAAAAGGCTCATTATGATGTGAATCCTCCCGTGTGCTGGAGAAACTGTGGACACCAACAAGCACATCACACCCATATTATGTGGGACTGTCCTGTGCTACGGACTTACTGGAAAGACATTCATGGTATATTACAAGGCATTTTTAACTGTACATTCCCTCAGGATATGAAGACAATTTTTTTTGGCTGTATACCGCAGAACTGGTCCAAAAATGACATATGTCTGTTAAGAGCTTTATTGGTTGCAAGTAAGAAATGTATAACAAAGAAATGGTCCTCGCAAGACATACCGACCTTGTCATTATGGTGGGAAATTACGTTAGAGATATATAGGATGGAGGAAGTAACAGCTCATGTTAATGACAGGATGGCCTGGTTCCATTTGTGTTGGGATAAGTGGGTCCAATACGTCAATACCCATAAACCGTAACAGTAAAGTGAGAAAGTGATATTACTATAACTAATGTGATATGATTAAATATGGGATTAATATATGAGAAAAGAAATCTGCCACCACAGTGTTCAAACTGCAACGTACTACTGGGACCACAGGTATTGTACTGTATTGTATTCTTTCTTTCTTTCTTTCTTTTTTTTTAGATGGACCTGAGCTGGTGTTTTGTTTTGTGTGTAGTTATCAGTCTGTTTGTTTGTTTTGGGGTTATTGTTTTTTTTGTTTGTTTTTTTTAACGTTTTTTTTTTTTTTGGTTCTGAATTGTACACTTTATTATGTTATGTAATTATGTACTATTTGTGAAAACAGACAAACTAACAAAAAATTTATATTAAAAAAAATAAAGCCTGAATATGAAACATTATTTTTCAAGAAAAATTGATCTATTTATTATTAACAGTTTGTGAGAATGACATTTATGACTCAGTAAATATTTGGATTTGTTGCAATAATAACAGCTTAATCTTTTCTTGTCTGTAGATTGTTCATTTAACTGGACATGAGAATGAAGAGGGCATAAAGACCACACTACAACAACTCATCTTGTACCTGAAGGAAGATGCCAAAGACCGCCAAAAGTGTTTATTCTCCTCTGCAATCTGCATCTCTGAGGCAGGTCAGGGCTCAGTCAAGCACTATGGAGTCTCCATGTCCACTTCTAATAAGGATGCTAGGGGAATCATGGTTGCTGTCTCATGCTGTCATGAATGGGATGAATATGTAGCTGGTGCAGTGATGACATATTTTCCAAACAAAAAGAAAATCAAAAGCAAAGACAAGAAAAAAGAAATTAATGGAACCATTAGACTACCAGAGAATGTGAAGTGTCGAGCATTTAGCCTCCTGAATGGACAAGAAATGCCTCCTTGTATGTCATGTGCCACTTTGTTTTCTTTGAAAACAACTGAAAATCAGGGATGGCCTTATGGCAACTGTGCTGAAGCTGAAAGTTTGAGCAACTTGCTCAAAAAGGAGGCACGAGTTAAAGACAGAGTGGAACTACAAACACCTGAGTTATGGACAGCTGAGAACAAGGAGGTAGCAAAAAAAACAATTTTGACTATTCTCAAGAATTTACTGAAAAAGACAGATTTTAAATGGGATATGCTTTTCTACACCCCACACAAAAGTGGAGAGAAAGTGAATGTTCACATTTAAGTAACTCCTCTCCTTTGTCATAGTTCTAAAGATGGTAATTTACTGTAACTTTGCAGCCTTTGAATGTTCCTGTTATGTGGAAATGAAATTTGAATTTTTTTTTAAATTGCCATTTAATGATTTCA